TGGTCAACACCACCACGACCAGCACCTCCCTGACCTCTACCTCTAGCAGGTCGTCCTCTGCCTCTTCCAGCTCCTGACATCCTATTTCCAGTAAAGAATGTCAATGATAAGTCTCACAAGTAATTTATACTTAAACTGGAGCATGGTAAGAGAGCAATAATTCGTATAAGTATATGCTCCTATTCTTACTATCACTTCTCTTAGCCAGGTAATTCTTAACCTAGGCTCTGATACCAAACTGTCACACCCCAAATTTTAATACAAGAACTACTTGTCCTGCATAAAAAAAATCTAAGGTATAACTTCCATCAATTCTCAACATACATCCTCCATAATAGAATTACAATGAATCCCGTCATTCAACTTAACAAACATGAGAGTCTGACAAATTTTATACAAATCCATAAATAGAGGTGCAATTCCCTCTAGTAAAACAAAACATCTATGACCACTGAATCAACTCAATAAAGTTTCATAAAACATTAACTTTATTACAATAATCAGAATAAAGGAAAAACCGAGCTAAAATAAATCAATGCGTAACGAGCTAAAATCCGTTCCCATCATGTAATCCCATCACGTTCCTACTCAACGTGTACCTGAAATGTGATAATGGGGTGAGCTCACAAGCTCAGCAATAAATGCTAAACACAATCATCGTTCAGCAAATTAACCTTACCTTATATTCCTGTATATATAAGCAACTCAATTAAGTTCATTATTCAAATGTGTATAACCCAGTTAGTTATAAACTTAATAAATAACCATCTTTTATTTTTTTTTTATAAATCGGCATATCTCACATGAGCCCCGGGCTCCCGTCCAATAAAATGGTGTGAATCGTATAGTCCCTGACTACCAAAAACACACGTGTGGCTGGATTGTACGTCTACTCCCCAGATGATCCCTGATCACGTCCACACAATAAGGGCTCATTAGACCCATGGCCATAACAAAAGGGTAGTGCACTCCCAAATAGGTAAGTCCCTGACCATACCCAAAAGTCATCATAGGGTTAGCCCCGGACTTCCCCTCCGACTAATCCACTTATAATCATAAATTTAGATTAATTATGCTAAAAAAATATTATGTTATCATTTAAATATCATGCCCCAACCATGACTTAGACTGACCTTTAATGATGTAGTTATTAAACTAATTATACCCCCTGCAATAATCAACTGATAAGGAAATCACAAATGAAAGTTCAAAGAAGAAAACTAGTACAGATCATCAAATCTGTCCAGTAACCAAGTTCATCAAGTGTATTCTTTACAAAGTTCATGCAAGCTTAATGATACAGATTATATAATTACAATTAATAATAGGTAAATTTATATATATATCTCAATGTACATACAAGCATTAAGCTACCATGAGTTATGTTAGTACTACTCATATATTTATAGTTCTATTACTTCAACTGATCAGTTATTGAGATCCATACTGATAATTAAATAATAGTTTTTTTTTATATATAAAACTAATAGCATTCATTTATATTTGAAGGTTACCAGATAACTAAATACAAATTTAAATACTAAATTTAAGGTTATGTTCCATGTCTAATTCAATTTCATTAAGTAAATGTAGCAACCGGCCAATTGAATCAAGTCTTTAAATTTAGTTCTAATATTTACTCAAATCTCATAATAAATGTATAACCATAAATACAATAACCCAATCTATCCAAGGAAAATATGAATAAAACTTACCTATATATATACAGATTTGTATATAAATATAAGTGACCTTGAACTCATACAATAAGTCACCATTACTGATTCTCAATGATCATGATCCAATAAGTTCCCATTCCAGTTCCAATTCGACACATATATATACTTAATATCAACATTTAATTAATCTGAATAATCCATCATAGACAACTATTATCTCAAGTGCTCCAATACAGTGCAATGTTTACCTTTAGTATAACCTACATGAACGTATATATATAGACAACTATTATCTCAAGTGCTCCAATACAATGCAATGTTTACCTTTATTAGAACCTACATGCACGTGTATATATATAGATACATCACAAATTCATCTATAATTACGTATTGCATTTTATTTATTTTTGTTTTTAATTTTTTAAAATATCAGATAGTGAATTAACAATCACCTAATAATCCACTCATCGATTTCATACATCCATTGATCATAAATTTTAATTAAATAATTGGCTAAGATTTTCTAGAACATGCCAAATTAATTTTGTAAGAATCTTTTCTTTAACAAGAAGTTGTAAACATATATAAAAATATAAAGCAAGATTAACTTGCCTGGTATAAATAATTCTTCCTTTCTACGCGACTTCCCGATTACCGTTCCTTTCCCCCGGCTACTGCAGGAAAACACGACGTCAAATCACTCTCTCTGGTCCCTTCTTCTCCCGTTATCGTGCTAATATATCTTTTTTTATATATAGAAATAAAACGTATTAGAGAGTTATAGAGATATAAGGAGTCTGGTGAGATAAATTAGTTTTTTTTTTAAATTTAAATTATTTAACAAACTTTATCACAATCACCCATTTAAATTAAAACAGAGATAACCATTAAATTATATTAAGTAAATAAATATATGATATAAATATATATATATGTATTTTACACGGGTCTTACACCTCCTTTTGGTACATACTCTCTAATTTAGTTTCTTCAAGGAATTATTTAGTTTGGGACTAAGGTGCACCTTAATACTTGGTATATGAAACTTGCTTAGATTCTATTTTGAACCACATCTTGGTTATTTCTTAGATGACTCTATTTTGCGTAACCAGGTTGGGCATATTGTAATTGTAGAATTTCACATTTGTGCATCAGTGTCGAGGATAATCCTTGATGAAAATAATTTACTACTTCAGAAATGTTGAAGGACACTACTAATTTATGCAATATGTTATTTATTTTTTTGTAGAATATGGTATAGGTGTGGAGGTTTCAAAAGAAGGTGATGTGTACAGCTATGAAATCTACTGGAGATGTTTACCGGAAGAAAGCCCACAGACAACATATTTACTGAAAATTTTAGCTTTCATAACTATGCAAAGTTGGCGCTTCCTAATAGAGTGATGGAGATTGCCGATTCTCTATTCTTGTTGGAAGAGGACGATGCTCAAAGGGCTAGCCAACATAATATTGGTAGAATAAAAGAGAGCTGGGTGTCGGTCCTTAGGATTGGAGTGATATGTTCTTCTGAAATGTTGAGAGAACGGATGGATATTAGGGATGTTCTCATGGAACTCCACAAGATTAGAAACGCACTTTTGCGAAGAAGCTTGAATTGGATTTCATTACTCAACTAGTATGAATTTGCTCCCAAAAGTCATGTGATAGAAACTTCCGGTAGTTGTGACTGTTTAAAGTATTTGTTTTGTTGTATTTTATTTTTTACTTTCGTGTGTGTTGTGTTGTTGTCGTCGTTGTTGTTTGAGGTTCTATGTCAGGACCGGCATATTTAGCATATTTGAAAGTACAATAAAGTTGTTGAGAACAAAATAAATATAACAGTGACTTGTTGATTCTCATTTGCATACAATTGATGGTTGGCTACTTGATAGAATTATTCAAATTTCAAAAAAACAGAGCACTGGTTGAATATTGATTTTGTGATGCCTAATTAGCATAATGGTATGTGCCTTTCAACGTGATAATGGTAGGTTAAAATATCAAAGAGCACTTCTTGGTTTTTGTTATACAGTTTGTTTGTCATTGCCTCCCTGGTGATTTAAAATGGATTCTATCTAATGGAAAAAAATGGAAAAACAAATTTTTTTAGAATTCAGGAACTTATGGAGATTCTATCTAAGGTCCTATAGTTAAGATTTAATATAGAGTTGAAATGGGAATGAATGTCATGGAAGCGAATAAAAATAATTTTTTGACTTGATTCCCTGAACTCTCGGCGGGAATTATGTAGCCAGAGTCTATGGTGAATCTTTTTACATAATAAACCTAATAGCATCCATATCCATTTTTTATTGTATGAATTTTCAGCAGCTGTGGTTGCAACTGCTGTCTTAATTTTCTATGCACATAGGATTTGATCATACATATTGCAGGTTTGAACAGTCCAAAGCCAAGAACTTTTTATTTATTTATTCAATTTTTTTTTTTTTAGTTCTATCTATAACTATTACTAGTAAGAGAATGGTACATTCACAAACACATTGAAGAAACAAACAATTTGATCAATGAGCTTAGATTTATAGAAAGAAATTTCAAATCGAAGCAACAAATCCAGAATTTGTATCTGAATTATGAAGTAGGTCTGGTATAGCGGAAACGGGGATGTTAAGATGAATGAATTATGTGTGGATGAATGAGGAGAATGTTAAGATGGATGTCCACCCTGTTCTATTCCTATTGTACTAAGGACTAAGGTTGGCAAAGGTGGAGTAGTCTGTGGCCTATGTAGCTAGATAGCACGGATGTTCGCCCATAGAGCTTTCCTATGGCTCATAGTCTTCGCTTATACTATATTCTAGTTGTTTGCTCTTTTTTGATCTTATCAGTGGTAGCCTTGCCTTAGCCACCGAAAAGTCACGGAAGTGTGCCCTCCGAAGGTCACTATGGCTTCGCATGGCCCACGAATTCTTTGTCTAGCCACCAGTATCTAACTTGCCTTAGCCACGAGTATATGCATGAGTTTTCGAAAAAGGAAGATACTTCGATCAGTTCCTTGGCAGGAAATCTTCTGGCGCGGTGCCCCCTTTTGCATGGATATAATAGACGTCTAACTTCTGGGATGGGAATAGAAAAGGCAATTCAAATGCCCTGGCTTGATCAATTACGGGAGTTTATTAGGCATCAAAATGCAAATCTTATCTTAATGTAGGTCAGGCGGATAATTGAACCGGCACAACTAAGAGGTTAGGACCACCGGATGGACTGAGAGGCGGAAAATGGAATGCATAAATATGAGCCTCTAAATATACGCCCGATTGGATCTAATCGAAAACGAAAAGCCTACTAGAATGCGACACGGTGATGGGATTCTTCCTCCTCTACCTCTGTGGCGGCTGTGCCCGCTCCTACCTGTTGCTGGGTAAACAAGGGTGGTTATGGGTCAACGAGGTTCCGGTGCCCACTTCCGGTGGTGGAGCTCTAATGTATTTTGATTTTTTTTTTTTTTTGGATCTCACTCATATTATAATAACATTTTAGGTAAAAAGTGGAGTGAAAAGTGAAAAGACTAAGATAATATTTTGAATTTTAATGTTCATTGTTTGAGATAAAACTTCATCGGTCCTTCATCTGAAATCCAATCGAGTTTCTTTAATTATAAAGATCGAAGAAAGCTCATCATGATCGTATTAAGGGCAAAACTTGCGAAATCCTTGACCCAAGAAAATTATTTATTTCTCAAAATTAATCAAATTGTAATTTGTTTTACATTTTCACTTCGAGAATTTCAGACACGAAATTTGTGCGTATGCTATATTCATCTAATTCCTTGTAATGAAATACAAATTTAAGAAACTCGGGGGTATTGGCCAGGGAGGGCTATTGAACTCAGCTATAAATGGTAAGATTGAGAGATAAAAACAGATATAATTATTTGTATATAAAGTAAAATTTGTAAAATATCACCAGTTAATATAAACAAAATGACCATCATCTAACTCTATTACCATTCTGGCTACAATTTGATTTTTGGCAGGGTAAAAAATTTACGGCTATTATATATTTTCGTTCTTCATTTTTTTAACTTTAATTTCTTTTGCTATTGCCAATTTTTTTGGATAAATTTTTTAGTTGATTTAATACTATTAGTTTTTTATTTTGATATATTTTTCCTCAATTCCTTTTTTGTAGTTAATTTCATTATTATAAATTTTGTAGTTATTTAATTTAAACTTGAAAAGAGTATTTAGAGTTTAGTAAATAAGATGTCCAACTCCATTACAAAGAGTACATACTTAAATATATATATATATTTTCCTAAATTTACCCCCTCTTTTTAACCAGCCACTTTATTTTTCCTTGGACAATGTTTATTGCTTAATTTTTGACTTTATAAGTTAGTACGGTTTAAATCTAGACCTTATAACAACGTATAATGTAATGACTAAATTAAAATTCTATAAACATATGATGAGCATTTTGCTAGTAGATAATTTGCAAGTAATAATTGGTAATAATTCCATTGATTGTTTTATGCCTCTCCTCTTATATGTGAGCGATCGAGGGTGTGTTTTTTGATATTCAAATTCTTTTGTTTAACTTCATTATTATTTCAATTCATCTAATATTTTATTTAATTCCTATTTTAAGGCGTCAAATCAGTATTCTTAAACATATCTTTAACCGAATCTTAATATCCAATTTTCTTTGTCTATAAGCTACAACTAGACCTAACTAATATATATATATATACACACACACACACACAATTGTTCACTTGTTCCCTAGTGTGTAGGAAAATGTATGCACACCTCAAATATTAACCATTATATATATATTTAATTTCAAAATGCTGATTTAGAACTATAATATTATTTTAAGATATTTTATTACTGCCGACTCTTAATATTTAATTTCTTTTGTTTATAAACTAAATGTAAATTAACAGTTGTCTAGTGGTACTCCATAAAGTAGAGAAGAGCGGATGTTAAATTTTTAAGGAAGAGAGTGTTTCAAATTTACGATGTATAAGATAAATATAGTCATATATTGAGTAATCATCTATGAAGTGTCGTGGAGGCACAAAAGCGTGCCACGAAACTCTGAAAGAAGGTCAATAGTAAAACGGCCGTAATATATTTGAAAATTACCAAAAGCTAACATTCGACGCTGTAATATATTTGAAAATCAGATGTGTTTTTTAAGCTGAAAAAAAAAAAAAAAAAAAAAAAAAAAAAAAAAAAACTAGAAAGAGAGAGTCAATGATAGCTCACCCCAAGAATCTTCCGCCCGCCCCAAATCAACATTCTAACCATAGGAGAAAGTCAACCCCATTGGACAGACGTGAAGCACATTGACCAATTTCTGAACTCCTTTCTCTGATATATATATATATTCTATGAAAAACTGCAGTCCTACTTGCTTTTGTTATATGAACAAGAAGAAATTAACAAAGCTACTCGTGCCTTTTGATGACAATACAAAGTCTTTTTAAAATTAGTAGTTTAATTTGTATATTTTATTGCTATGTTTTCTTTAGTTCTGATTTACAAAGCCTACATGTGGATTAAACATATAGAGTCAGTGGCAATGGACGGCATGAAAGCAAATACAGTGTTTTCTTGACTTTCTGCAAAGCTTGCCCAGTCAAATAAATGGAGGTTGGTGTATATATAAATTTGGCTATGATTTACACCTAAAAGCTCATCACCTTTCACCTTTATTTTCCATAATAATTTATCCCATGAATCTTCAGCAGCTATACTACAACTGCACCAAGTATTATTTTCTGTTCACATAGGTTACCATATAGCAAGCTTGAACCATCCTCGAGGCTTCCTGAAGCACAAAGAAATGGTTTTAAGGCTATTATTATTAAGTTCATCTTCCCTCCTTTTTTACATCATTTTTCATGCAAGCTTCATTTTACTTGCCTCAAATACCACTTTTGCATTCGCAAATGAGACAGACAAGCAAGCCTTGCTAGCCATCAAAGATCAAATTGTTGAAGACCCATTCCAGGTCTTAAGCTCATGGAATGATTCTATCCACTTTTGTCATTGGAAAGGAGTCACATGTAGTCGTCGGCATCAGAGGGTGACCGTCCTAAACTTGTCATCCTTAAAATTAGTTGGTTCCTTGTCTACTCACATAGGAAACCTTACCTTTCTTAGAGAGATCAGTCTTGAGAACAACTACTTGCATGGCACTATCCCACAAGAAATTGGTCGATTGTTTCGCCTACAACATCTTTTGCTTTATAGCAACTCCTTCCAAGGTGAGTTCCCTACCAATTTGACTTATTGTTCAGACATCAGAGACATCAATATATCTTCAAACAATCTTGTAGGAAGAATTCCTATCGAACTAGGATCATTTACTAATCTTTTACAATTTGATCTTTCTAAAAATCTTTTCATTGGCAATATACCACCTTCACTGGGTAATCTCTCCTCTCTTCGCTCCCTTCATCTCGACTCTAACAATCTAGAGGGAAGCATTCCTTTTGAACTTGGAAAGCTTTCCAACATAGACTTTTTTCAATTGAGTTCCAACAATTTGTCTGGAATGGTTCCTACCCGACTTTACAATATCTCATCCATCTATGCCTTTGTTGTAGCTGACAACCAGTTAAGCGGAACACTCCCCCAGGAACTGGGATTGACCCTTCCAAGACTACAGCAATTCTTAATTAGTGTTAACCAATTCTATGGGCCTATCCCACCATCATTGGCTAACGCTTCAGCACTTGCTGATTTTGATATTGGTATTAATTTTTTCAGTGGGTCTGTACCAATGAATTTGGGTAGCCTTCCATATCTGGAATGGCTAAATATTAACAGTAACCACCTCGGAACTAAAAAAGCCAATGACTTGAGCTTCCTTAATTCATTAACCAACTGTACAAATCTAGGATTTATAAATTTAGGTGGGAATTACTTTGGGGGTGTATTGCCCAATTCAATTGCAAATCTATCCACCACAGCACTGTTGATAAGTCAAAACTGCATATCTGGAAGCATACCGCTAGGAATTGAGAACCTCGTCAACTTAAAGCTTTTAACCTTAGATCGGAATATGCTCACAGGCAATATTCCTGAATCAATTGGGAAACTTTTTGAGTTGGAACAACTCTTCCTTTCTGTAAATAACATCTCAGGAAAAATTCCATCATCTATTGGCAACATGTCTCGATTGAGTATTCTTGGTTTAGGAGGAAATCAGCTAGCGGGAAGCATACCTGGATCTTTGGGTAATTGTACAAAGCTACAAGAATTGGATCTTCAAGTTAATCACCTCACTGGTGCAATACCCGAGCAAGTTATTGGACTTTCTTCCCTCACTATTGGTCTCTTCTTAAATCAAAACTATCTAACAGGTGCACTTCCATCACAAGTGGGCAATTTGAAGAATCTCGGGAAATTGTATATTTCAGAAAACACACTTTCCGGAGAAATCCCAAGCACTCTTGGCGATTGCCTAGTGTTAGAAGTCCTGCATATGGACGGTAACCTTTTCAAAGGTACTATTCCATCATCTTTTCAGCAATTAAAAGGAATTCAAGAACTCAAGCTTTCTCATAATAGTTTGTTTGGACGGATTCCAAGCTTTCTAGGCGAGTTACGATTGATTGAATATTTAGACCTTTCTTATAATAAGTTTGAGGGTGAAGTTCCAAATGAAGGAGTGTTCCTGAATGTTAGTGCATTTTCCGTTGTGGGAAATGACCAACTTTGTGGAGGAAATAAGGAATTGCAACTGCCTGCATGTCCCACACAAAGGGCGAGAAGGCTCTTTGCACATAAAATGATAATTCTTGTGACAAGTACCACTCTTTCTACAGTTTTGTTGATAGCAAGTGTTTCTGCTGTTTTTTATTTGATCAAAAGGTCAAAAAAAAAATCTTCAATAGATGGTGCATTGGGAAATCAGTACCCAACGCTCTCCTATGCGGAACTTGAACAAGCTACCAATGGATTCTCTTCAGCCAACTTGATTGGTTCGGGGAGTTATGGTTCTGTTTATAAAGGAATTCTCGACTATGGTGAACAAATTGTTGCTGTGAAGGTTTTCAACCTTCAACAACTTGGAGCCAACAAGAGCTTCTTCACTGAATGTGAAGCTTTGAGGAACATTCGCCACCGCAATCTGGTCAAGATCATCCCATCTTGCTCAAGCATGGACTTAAAAGGAAATGATTTCAAGGCTTTGATCTTTGAGTTCATGCCAAATGGGACTTTGGAGAGTTGGTTACACCCAAATCAATCTGTGCAGCAGGATCCAAAGAGCTTGGATTTAATACAAAGGCTAAACATTGCAATTGATGTGGCATCTGCATTGGATTATCTTCACCATCAGTGTGACACAACAATCATTCATTGCGATCTAAAGCCAAGTAATGTTCTTCTTGACAATGAGCTTTGCGCTCGTGTGGGTGATTTTGGTATATCAAGGTTTCTTGGAGGCACCAAAGGTAAACCCGATCGTTCAAAATCTAGTTCTTCAATTGGGATTAGAGGAACTATTGGTTATGTCGCACCAGGTAATTTTTGTCACATAATTATTGCATAATTACATACACCTCCTTTTGGTACATACTCTCTAATTTAGTTTCTTCAAGGAATTATATAGTTTGGGACTAAGGTGCACCTTAATACTTGGTAAATGAAACTTTCTTAGATTCTATTTTGAACCACATCTTGGTTATTTCCCAGATGACTCTATTTTGCTTAACCAGGTTGGGCATATTGTAATTGCAGAATTTCACATTTGTGCAGTAGTGTCGAGGAAGTACTTCAGAAATGTTGAAGGACATTACTAATTTAGGCAATATGTTATTTATTTTTTGTAGAATATGGTATGGGTGTGGAGGTTTCAAAAGAAGGTGATGTGTACAGCTATGGAATCCTCTTACTGGAGATGTTTACCGGAAGAAAGCCCACAGACAGCATGTTTACTGAAAATTTTAGCCTTTATAACTATGCAAAGATGTCGCTTCCTGATAGAGTGATAGAGATTGCCAGTTCTCTATTCTTGCTGGAAGTGGAGGATGCTCAAAGGGCCAGCCAACATAACATTGGTAGAATAAAAGAGAGCTGGTTGTCGGTCCTTAGGATTGGAGTGATATGTTCATCTGAACTGTTGAGAGAACGGATGGATATTAGAGATGTTCTCATGGAACTCCACCAAATTAGAAACACACTTTTGAGAAGAAGCTGATGTCATGTGATAGAAACTTCCGGTGGTTGTGACTGTTTAAAGTATTTGTTTTGTTGTATTTTATTTTTTTACTTTTGTGTGTGTTGGTTGTTGTCCTTGTTGTCGTCTGAGGTTCTGTCTTAGGACTGGCATACTTAGCATATTTGAAAGTATAATAAAGTTACTGAGTGTAGCGACCCTAAACTGAAACCATTTACACAAAAATTTCGGCATGACCTCCCCTAAAAATGGTCCTTCAACAACCTGTCCCAACACACAAAACAAATAATATACTCCAGCATCCCATTCATCCGTTCATTATATCTCAAGATAGTTCCTCTCATGGTGGAACATCCACACACTAATTAATCCAAATTATCATGATTACAGTCCCAAAATACATTATTTGAAATTCATCGTCATGATCCAAAGTACATTTCCTTAGTTAACAAAATAGGTACACTTTGCTAGAACTCAAAGTTTTACAAAAATAGAGAGTATACAAAAGTGTAGTCTAGTACAAAAGTAACAAAATGTTTCTCTAGCAACATTCATGGTTGAGGTGGGTTGTCATCCACCGGTTCTTTTTTAAGGCCTGAAAAAAAAATATATATGATAGGGTGAGCGTAAAGCTCAGTAGGTGACACTTAAGACATAATTCTTGTGTCCTAGTGAATTCAAACAAAGCATAGGCCAATAGGAAATGGGGGTCATGCAACGTAGGGAATCAATACAACATACTAGTCAACTCCAAACACAATCAATGCAATGCAATGAAGTGCAATACATGCTAATGCCACTCCCTATTTTCTTTCTCAAAACCATCACTTTCCAAATGTTAACGTAACCCCCTTTGGTAACTCCGCTGCGACGAGAGAAGGATTGGCTACCGTCCCTAGGCCTTTGGTGACTCCGCAGCGCCGTCGAGGGACCCGAATAGCTCAACCACGCTAGGGTACTCTCCCTAGTTCCCTCTAGGCTACATTAACCTCCGGCCCGTTGGTAACTCCTCAGCGACCGGGTTTGTCAAAACCATTTCACAAAAACTATCATCTCCCAAATCCCCCATTTTCATTTCAAGACCAATTCTTCCCTTTTCATGCATCCCAATGACATGTGCATGAATGTATAAATGATTAACATATTATGATAAAGGGAAAATTTGGCACAATCTAAATAAACATGCTCTCATACATTATTTCTAGCATTTTAACACAAAGTAGACATAAAAATTCAACATTTTAACATTTAGAAACTTTCCAATACATCATCACTACACATTTAGGCATTTATCATGTTCAACATCCTCAATTAAATTATCAACACATTTAACACAACAAGGTCATCATCTAAACATGTTATTCACATGATACAAGTTATAATCAAAGTAATGAAATTCTCTAGACATAATTTATACATTATGGAAGCAAGTATTTTCTCAAATTAAGCATATTATCACACAATAGGGTCATAATTCACAATAGAACAAGAAAGGAGTGGATTAAGATACCCCTACCTCAAAATTGCACCAAAACCCTAGAAAATGGGTCTCAAATTCGAACTACAAGGAGAGCTCAAAGCTGGAAATTGTTGGTACTAGTACGTAGAGCTTGTCGCACTCGTCGTTTTGCCTTAAATGGCACCTTATTCCGACAAACAATGAGTGAGATACCTTTATTCAAAGGTTGGTCTCTAAAAGAAATGGAAAATGAAGAAAATTAGAGAGCAGAGAGAGTTCAGCGGGGAGAGAGAAAGAAAATGAAAGAAAAAAAAGAGTTTAGGCTATTATTTTGAGTTAGTGGTGGGCTCCACTTGAAATTCTTTTCTTTTCACTTTATCTTTATTCCATTGTCTACACCACACACATAAAATTACACCATAATTTAAATGTTACACTCCCATGAAAATTAAGATGCACAGATTACACTTGGACCCAACAACAATCCCGTCGATAAGTGAAAAGACGAAAATACCCTTATGGTAACAAAATTTCAAAAAATTCAAACATCCTAAAATTTGAAAACTTCACAATCTACCCTCGTTAAAGAGATTTCGTCCTCGAAATCTACCCTCCTTAAAGAAGAAAGCACAACAGCCACACACTCTCCCAGGACACCTTACAAAACTCCGAGACTATGAATCCACCGACATTATTGCCTTTGATACCGGATGTCAATAGACAATCACGCTCTGCCGCCAGAAAACCCAATGATCACCACCCTATTAGAGCACTCATCACTCACAACATTAATCACCAAACCTACTGAATTCTATACTTGACTTAAAACCAATATTGGTCCTTTCTATACTGTTACACAAGGCTCGAAAGAAAAATGGTCACAAGACCCCCGATAATGACAACATTCTATCTCCGTTCACTCTTTTTAAAGGACAAACCAGGCCCCAATGAGGATCAGACTTAACCTCAGATCAACACATCTCTGCTAAACCAACACTTGTTATCAATCATACGACTATACAACTACATCATCATACAATGACCACCAACCACACTAATCAATAATTATCATACTGATCAACCTTAAGATAACTAAATGATGAATCTCGCAATAATCATATAATCATGAGTCACCAAAACAATAAAATGCATCACCCTGCATTTGAACACAGATCCTCAAAACAAGATTCTCAAAAATCAATGATTGTACCACTAACCTGCTATCAAACACCCAATACCATTTAACACCTCTCAGCACTTAAGATAAATCGTGAAAGTCCACATTGTTGCCATACTCTCATTATCACCAACAAGTCAGAGTAATCATTGACCTTTGACCCAACATCGTGTCAAAGAAGGATTGATTTAGGAGAAATGGTTGGCCAGGCCATTCTCATCATCGATCCGACCTCAACACAGATATCATTCCTATCCTCAGGTCTAAACCTCAAACACAACCCTATACAATCCACAAAACAACCACGAAACCCACTCTCTAATCAATCTGTCACTCTACATAACCTCGACAACAATATAATCACATACTAACTCTAAAAACTCTAATCATGCCTCAATTATAACAAGCCAAAGTAACACATCGCCAATATCCCAATCATCAATCAACCTAAAAGTCTTTCAGTCACCTCATATCGTTCACAACACGTAATCAACTTCATAACCTTATTCGATTCGATTCTGACCTCGTCAAAACACCCAATACAATCATTTCGTGCTGAAATCCTCAAGACAAAGTCAACCATTCACATTATTCCTAAATGAAATCCCTTAATCATTCACTAGCTGTATAACGCCCAAGCAATACTAATATTTATCTTCAAGACACTACTAGAATCAATCCCTTCTGAAAACATTCAAGTACACGAGTCATGCCACATCATTTAATTATCCTCAATTGTAATTCATGACACGTTCTCTAGTCATCGCCAATAGTACCAATCATCAGAAACATAATCCTCATTCGGCAATTTGTGCCTCACATCCTACCAATTAAACCATTCTCAAAACAAAGATTGCAAAACTAAAGGCTATACCTCCCTCCGGGGAAGTAAATCGACCCTTTCAATCAAAACCTCAATCAATGACCTTCAATGAAGCAACACCCGCTCACAAATCCGTCCACCCACAAACGTACACGACCTCTAGACAGAGACAAAACTCATAACAACTAACGTCCTAGTCAAGACTAAAACAAAGGAAAAGGGCTAGTGAGCCCCGAGCTCACAAGAGACTACCACTCGCACCTAAATGCACCTGATATCCTGTCACACTCTATTCATCAATCATCCAACCATGGACATCCAATCTCACTTAAGATGAAACGAACTCCTTATATACAAGGAGAAGGACCAACTAAGAAGCATATACAGAACTACGACCGCAACTCTAGGCGACCTTGCCACAAACAAACCGTCATACACAGTCAACATAGAAACCTTGCATACGCTACCCCACAACACCTATACATGCCAAAACCAACCAGATAAGAGCACCAACGCTCACGTCACACAAACACAAGGAACAAGACTCGTGACGTCAGTCACATCAACCCATGACTCGTTAAAGAAAAAAAGTGCTTATCTAGCAACACCACTCTCACTAGCTCAAAAGACTAAACTGTCCCCAATCACCTCAACTGACACATAACCCTAATCACCTATCTAACAACACACTACAACTAACTCACAATCCTTAATCCGTCCCCGGATCTTACCTGAAACCATCATGCTCATCAGCACTAAACATCATACCATGACATCCTAACATCTCCACTGTCACTTATTCCAACACCCGTTCAAACCTATCAATCCACCAGACCACTAAGCCACCACTAAACGACTTTTCCTCAAACATCCTCAAGACAATACCATTATAACTACAGAACAACCATTGCTCTTGATACTCCTCATAACGATCGCTATATATGTCACTAAAAAGAATCTCCATACGGCAGTGCCATGCCACTAGATCCTCAAAAAAGAATGAGCATAAAAATCCAAAATGCTCGACACCCAACTGTCTCCTTAAAACCGTCAACAATGCAATTAATCACCATTTTCTCCTTGAGTGTTATAGTCACCCCCAAAACTGATTTACTCTTCAATACAAGAATCTCAAGTATTAATACCTCCATGATCATTCTTCCCAAAATAACTTCATAAATCTGATCCTTTATAAATAACAAACCTCCACTACCATTTGCTCCTTCAAAAGTGACATTAACCCGTTATGAAAACACACTTCACTTATGCTACCCGACACCATAGTCAGTACTCCGCAATCAAGAAAATTAAAAATCTTACGCGGCAATGCTACATGAACAACTCCTAAAAGGGACAACAAACACTACGCCAAATGGTCAAGCACACAAGCTATACTCTACGTCAACTACAAAACAGTGGTCTCTCATTGGGATTAAACTAGACACTCAAGTCATACCTACAACTGACCTATCCACTCAAACAAAAGGGTACACAACTCGTACACCCCCAACACTACCATTTTCTAACCAACCACCGTGAATACCAACCAACACAATGGAATG